ACTCCACACTTCATCTACGGCTATATGCAAAAAGCCAAAAGTTCACATGTGCAGGATTTTAACAGGTGTCCAATAGGAAATGATCCTGTTTTTAAGGAGGGGGGATTCAGGGGGCAGTGACAGCTTGACTAAGACATGTTAAGTTGGGCTAATCTGTAGTAACAACCCTAATATTGTTGTCAACCAGATTACAGTAAAATGGGGAGCACTGGCTTTATGCACGCAAGGGGTGGTTACTGGAGTAACTTAAGCCAAAAGACTACTTAAAAGTTCAGACACTCTTTAATTTACTAATGCACATAAATTTTAGAACTATAAGAAATATATTTGGAAATAGTTTATAAATTCTACTTTGCTGACTTGCTCGTGAGTTTCAGTTTCCTGTTATATGATGCCATTTTGAAGACAGTTGGCCATTCAAAAGACATTTTGTTTTGAATTCTTAACTTTTATTATAACTGTCCCAACTTTACATCATTAAAACACAGCTTTTTGCTATTTTACTTCATACTATAATGATGGAAACTGTTGTCAGAATAGTGCTTATTTTAACATGATTGTTTTTGTAGTGTCTCTATTTAGTGCTTATTGTGTGCTAAGAAAAAAAGAAGAAAAAACCCCTAATCCCCTTCTTTATTATAAGCTGCAATGGAGCTCTGACTGTCTGCGGTGAGACTACATGAGACCAGCGCCAGGACTTAAGGTTTCAAAGCCACCACAAATTAAATTACAAACACAGTGGACCTCTAAATCTCATAGCTTTAAATGGAAGAGGAGTGGGTACAGGTCAACTCACTGGCCCTGGAGGTCAGACAGAGTGTAAGTGTAAAATATATGACCTCCCCAATATGGCTGCCGCCTGTCACCCTATGAGGTCAATTCAATATATGTTACCCAGTAGTATTTTGACTCTTTTGGACACTTTATTTTAATGTTTTAAGGTTCGCATGTGTACTAGGAATGATTGTATGCCTATAAATCAATAAGGTTGAGGATCAGGTAGGGCATCTGATGTAAAATCTAGGCCACGTTTATATATATAATCATGACAATGTTATTTGGAGATATGTGATATGATATGAGGATGTGGTATTTAAAGGTGCACTGTGTAACTTCTTGGTTGGGAGTCTGTCACCTGCTTTTTTCTATGGATATATTATTGGTCTGCCTAGAATGTTCCACAGTATGACAATAAATACATCTATCTGTAACAAATTTGTCAAAACAATTTTGACTGTGTGTGGGGTTGCCTCTCCTCAGATCTGACCTGTAACTCAGTCCTGGTCCATATAGAGAAAAGCATGTGGCAAATCCTCAACCAGAAAAATTACACAATGCACCTTTAAATTGAGTTTGACAAGATGGGAGTAATGTAAATTTTCATTGTCTTAACTGTCAAATTTTTGCCCCTATAATCTAAAAAATGCTGATACAAATAACCACACAGAAGGAACTAAATTTAATTTGATGTCAGTGCTTTTTGGCAATAATAATCCAAAAATGTTATTAAATAAATGACTAAAAATATAGATAAACCTAGAGGAAACACTGCAGACCTATAGCAAGAACACCCAGACACTGCCTGTTTCTATGTCTGCGTTAGTCATAAAACTACGGTGGGCTTGTGAGAGACCACCGAGGGTCAGACCCCAACAGCTGTGGCTCAAACACAGTGGAGCTGTCAGTCACACCCCTCTACACTTCTCAGCTCAACAGTGCTCCTCTCACACTTGGAGATACACCATGAGGAAATGTGTGAAGAAAATATCAGTTCTTCTTTCTTAGAGGAGTATTAAAGGGGATTTCCTGCTCTTTCCTTGAGTTTATGTCAGTGGATACGAGGAATTACATGCAGAAATACACTAACGGAGTGAAGACCTCCTAGATCAACATTATCAATTACATCAGTATTAACTTCCCTCAATCATCGCAGCTGGTTTTACTGTGTTTTTTCCTTTATTCATTGCCATGTACGACTTGAATATAAATATAACATAGCAGTTTTTGCCAGTTATGAAAATAATGGTTTAAAGCTGTCACATTTAAGGGGCCTTTCTACCATTACAGGAAAAGTACTTTACTTTAAAGATCCTTTCACTACAAGCCCTCACATACACAAACACAGGAAACAAGGTGGGCGAGGTGCCTTGCCCAAAGACGAGCCAGCAATAGAGAGGGGATTGTGAGTACGATTTGATTCACAATTTATGTTATAATTGTTCAACTTTCAGATCTGAAAGAGTGAATCTGAACTGATTAACTAATACAAGAATCTCATGCATTTTGAAAAAGTTTGTGGAGGTTTAAAGTAAGGATGTACCGATCCAGTATCGGCTTCCAAATATTGGTTCAGCAGATATATTATTTGAACAAATATACTGATGTGATATGATTATTTACTGGTTGTGGTTGGTCCAGAATGTTTCAGAAATCAGAATGTTTGAACTTTTAGTTATAGTTGTAGTTTTGTGGTTACTCGAGGGATAAATAACAGATGTATAACATGTTTGGATCAATTTTGTCTTATTTTATTTTGTTTAAAGGAAATAAAATGCTGTTTTCAGTCTCTGCTCTGGTATCTACTGTATTAGTATCGGATATCGGCAGATACTTGAAGCTATAGTATCTAAATAATCCTTGTGATTTGCTAATTGTGACTATTCAAATTGTGATCTTAGTTTGAATGCGATATATCTTACAGCTGTAGTCTAATTCTCCTTTGTGTATACTATATTAAACAAAACTTAAATATCTTACTGAAACTCTCCCAATCCTCCTTCCATCAATAGCCCCCCACATCTCCACGGGTCACCCTGTGTCTCTGTGTGACAATGCTTTAGTGATCTGGACACTACAGTAAAGCTGGTGACACAAAGGTCTTTTGACATGCTCTGCTCTGCTCCTCTGTATACTGCACCAGACCCCTCACTCACCATCTCCCCACACCTCCCATTCACTCAGGGCGGTACCTCCTTTTCATTTGTGTTTTCTATGGCTATCCGCTCAAGCTCGTAACATGCAGCTCTGGAGACGTGCCATGATAACAAATTTTGAAGCACAACAGAGAAATATTGCAATAAACAATAATATCGAAACTACTTTATGACACTGACACAAAGCAACACAATCCCAGTAAACCTATTTTTAAACATACTGTTTCATTAAACAGGCTTAAGCTGCAACAAATACATAGCAGAATGAACCAAACATTTGCTACAGAAGTTATTTATTCAACCCTCTACACTTCAAATCTTACATTATTATATAAAAATGGCAAAAACCTCCCCGCTGTTGTACACGAGATACAAATTAAGCCACAAAATGTATATATATATATATATATATATATATATATATATATATATATATATATATATATATATATATATATATATATCGGTGTAGTACTACTTTGAATATTAAATCAGTTGTAAGAGGCTAATTAAACCTCAATGTAACATCTTTTGCCTTATCTTGGAGTATTTATAGGGAAGCCACGGTAAATTGCATGTTTTGTTGTTCTATCTCCAGATGTGCTGTAGTGGCTAATTACTGCAGTAGTGCCACTCACACAGCGGGACACACAGAAAAGCATTAAAAGCACAAAGTAACTCAGAGTGCTGGCGATGCGGGCGTATACATTATGAACTACATTAAAAGGTGCCAGGAATAGGTGTCTCTTCTCCCAGGTGGTTAGGTCCAATAGCTGCAGCAGCATACCCCCTCCCCAGCCCTCTCCAACCCGCTCCGACCTGCCATCCGTATTCATCTTAATTTGCTCATTTCTGAACTGAAAAGGCACTGCACACAGGAATCTCATCGCACCATATGACAGAGCAGGTGCACAACTGTATAATAAAAAAAGTGTAGATGTTTCCCTATTAGTACAAATAAGCAGGTTAATGAGTTAAATGACTGCAGATGTTATCCATTGGTAGACTGTAGAGCATGAAGGTACTAGGATTAAATATGCACATTTTATCAACAAATTCTCAGCATGGTTTTACCTCCCACTGCAACAAGCTACGCACACTGAACCAGGAGTGCTGAGAAAGGCAAGCTTTTAGTTACAATTTAACATCATTTTATGGTCTATTTCTCGGAAGTTAGAATACAAAATATGCAGTAACTTTTAAAATAATCAGAGCAAGCCAAAGGGAGAGCATGTTTTTGCTACATACATGCTACTACTGTATGAGCTGAAACTGCACTTTGCCCAGTGACACATCTCCAACAGACTTCCCTCCATTCTCAGTGCTGCAGCAGAGGCTTAACCCGTTCACTGCCACTTTACATTAGAAATAGACAAGTCTGCATAACAGAGATATTGCTCTTATTTAAGTAAAATATAAACTAAATGAACAGAGGCACGTACATGAGATTAAGCAATAAAGTGTATGATTATTTTAGTGCAGCCTTGTTATAGAATTTCACTGCAGCACTAAACTCTTTTCATCAGTCTATTCCACAGCTTTAGTTTTACAGTTTACACAGTGTAGTTTATGAGTATACGGCAGATCTGAGGCTGGAGTAAGGAGGCTTGGAGAGGATTAAAAGCACATGGCCTCATCCCAGCATCACACTCCAACAGCATGCAGCTCAACCAGTCTGTCACACTTGTGATCAGTACAGTCACAAGAAACTCACGATAAACAGATCAGGCTTGAGGCTATAGTATAAAGTAGCCTAGATAATAGATAGATGATAATTAATCACCCTGCACTATCTGCAGAAAGGAGCACACGGCGTTGTATTGATTTGGAAAACAGTGTGATTTAATCATACAGCCTTGTTCACTGTGAACATCTTGTGGTTAGACTGTCCACTGCGCTTAGGCAAAGCCATTGTTCCGCCCGTCTGCGCGGAGGTGCGCTGGTGGAAGCTCCTCAAGACCGCTCAAGCAATCAGTCCGTAAAAATCAACTTGAGTCCTATTACTATTAAAAAAAAATCTAAACCCCATCCAGTATGAGCTAGAGCTAAGAAAATGAGGAGACTTACCGGCCACAGTGTATCTGTCCATGTAATTGAGGATGTTCCCAAAGGTAAGGATCCCGGCAGCAGCAGCCGGTGAGCGGCACCGGAGCAGCGCGGCGTGGACCTTGTGTCCCGGTTTGCACGGGTGCAGGTCCGGGCTGGATTTGAGAGCCGGGCTCATGCTTCCAGACAGCGTGTGCACCTCGTCCGAACTGCTGCAGCCTTCAATCTCGCATCCATCGCTCTCCACGCACATATTCTTACACGAGAAATCCAGCGTAAAAAAGAGAAGCAAAAAACACCCGTAAAGAAAGAGGAGTGAGCGACACGAGTCGTGGTTCACTGAGGACAGCTCGTGGCGTGTTTATTTGACAAGTGTTGAAGCGCAGGAGCCGCTCTTTGGGAGATCATAATTCTATGGAGAAGAGTGCACTGACGGACAGGCGCTGCGCTCCTTAGTTTTTTGCCAATAGACAGAGCGCTATTAGTGTGGGTGGGCGGGGCTAGAGAGAGGCAGCCCCGCCCCCCTCCACCGGCAGCCAATCATGAAGCGCACCTGATCCTTCTGCAGATGCGGGAAATGTAAGACCGTGTACCGTGGAAGATGTTACATTAGAACAAGAAGGACAGGGGTGTAGGCGTGACCACTGGTAGATTTATTTATTTATTTATTTATTTATTTATTTATTTATTTATTTATTTACTTTGTACTTTGTTTAGTAATATTATTATCTCACCATTAAAATAACCCCACATCACACCATGACATTAAATAACAGTTTATTTTTATTCCATATTTTTATAGAGCTTGCATACTTCCCCTGCCGAATGTGCTTACTAATAATCTGTTTCCTCTTCCTGCTTGCCCTGCTTGCGCTCAGACGTGCCCTTCGATTAAGCTCGTCATTAGAACTGAAACAAGGCGTGATTTACATAATTAAGCACTTAATGGCCCATTACTCAGCATTAGTAATATGTTAATACATTCTAATTGACACCTCTGCAGTGCCTTTTTAACATAAATGTACAACCCCCTAAACTTTGCCATACATGGTCTTTTAGTCACATTTCCTATTTGTGTGTGGTCTGCCTTGCCATTTCTGCTGCATTAGTTGTAAATCAATATCCAGGCCTACTACTACTATATTACGTCAGCTTGGAGGAGCATAGAGAGAGATGAATCACATGCCTAGATATGTTTGACTATGGCATTCCTAGTGGTTAAACTATAAACCAAAAAAGAAAACATAGTACTTTAGATCTGAGAGATAAAAGTCATGCCCCTGGATCATATCTGTTCTTTCAGCAGTTTCTCATCAGCTATTCAAGACAGCAGTGGCCCCCTGTCACACTGTGCATAATGCTGTTTGTCATCCACACCACAAGGAATGTTCCACCACAAACAGAATACACACAGTTTCCATGAAAAAAGCATCTCCACTAGCTTTAGGACACACTTGGTCAAATATAATTGTAGCCTTTCATGTTGGGTTATTACATCCATGTTGTGCACTTATTAAAGGGACCATACTGCTCTATTTTCTGATCTCTGTTATGATCTTGTGTCCTCATCACAAACATATCAGGAGTTGTGTTTTGTTTCATTCACGTTTAACATGCAAATCCTGCATATTTAGGTTGAGTTCTTCTCTCAAACAGAAAACACTCCATTCAACCTTGTGATGTCATGTACTAATACACAAAGTGCTCCACCCACTGTGTTTTTAAACTCCATACGCCTTCACTAGAATCATTTAGATAATTTCAGGCCTTGAATTGCCAGTCTCTACTGAACAAAAGGTTAAAGGTAGCTGTTAACTTGAAAACTGCCGCTTAATGAAATCACAAGGTGGAACAGAGCATTTTGAGCTTTGAGAATGTAGACAGACTAATAACAAAGGGTTACTCAAACATTTGTGGTAATAACATGGCTTAAAGCTCACAAGAGTCAATTTTGTGTAATATAGGATTTAAGGTGCACTATACTACTTTTCTGATAGACTGCTACTTCCTTGTCTCCATGGAGATGTTCTTGCTTTGTCTAGATGTCCCACAGTATGGCATTGATTTAATTACAGGTGTTTTTATTACTTAAAAATACATACATTCTTCACATACCCATAGATCTGACCTGGCCTGCTTACTTCACCTGTAAGAGTTTTGTGTTGCATTTTTTGTATTAAAAGTGCTTTATAAATAAAGTTTGACTGATTGCTGATTGATCTCCAAATAGATAAGTTTAACACATATGGGACATAGGCAAAGCAATAACCTCTCCATGGAGACAAGCAAGCGAGCACTCCATTAGAAAAGTTACACACTGCGTCTTTAAAGGGGTTAAAATCATAAAAAAAAAAAAAAAAAAAAAAAAAAACTAGTTCATTTGCAATTAGGCAGAGTTTTTTCTCCCTTTCCAGACACATTTGCATTCCAATTAGTCAGTTTACAGGTGCTTTTCACAACTTTCAGGTAAATGTAGACAGCACACAAGCAGTCTTAAGAATTTAGCTTTCCACATGAGAAAACACAGTCCCTTTGAGGTGAGACTGTGATTAAAGAGGACATTAATGTGTGGAATTTCCAATTGAACCTAGAGAATACAGATGATATCTAAGCCATGAATGGTTGGACAGGTCCCATGTAGAGAGAGGATGAGGTGGGCTAAACCTTGGCACATGTTGCGGAGAAGGTTGGGTGCTTGCCTGGCTCCCAGCTCTTGGCTTGTGCTTGTGTTATCAGATCTACACTAAACATGAACTGCCTGATCTGCACCGTGGTTTTGTTTTAAACATTAGATTTAAAACTGATTAAATATTTGCACTGATTTGTTACACAACAGTATTTTCTTTACAATTGCTCCATATTTTAATTACCAGTAATACTTCAATACATTAATCAATCACATATTATGTATTGCCCTGCTGATTTGTATTCACTTCACAGGTTTCATGGCCAGATCATGTTTGTAAATGAGAATTAGGTTTCAAACATTTTACCTGGTTAAATGAAAGTTAAATAAAGTAAATATGTAGATGCTCTGACCCAGTTGTCTTCTAAATGTTGCTACACCTTCAAAGAATAACACAAATCCTAACATTACATTTTGTCCTTTAAAAGTGCATTATATAACTTTTTTGGTGGAAGGTCCAAAACCAAACCAAATCCAAAGCCTGGAATGTTCCACAGTATGGCATTAAACATATCGGTCTAAATCATGGGTGAGCAAACTACGGCCCAGGGGCCATATGTGGCACTTTAGTCTTTTTAATCTGGCCCGCCGAACTTGAATAACAGTAAAAATAATAATTTTCAGTGTTTTAAAAGTCATTTCAATAAATAGTAAATACAGTGGGACTTGAAAGATAGATATTTTGATGTAATACTTTGTAATGGTTTTCAGTGATGGGATATTTCAATAACATGGGGTATCTTTTCTACACATCCCTTGTTATTTTTTCTCTTATGAGGTAGATTACCAAAAAACTCCATCCATGTGCTCCTGGTCCCTCTGTCAATTTTTAGAACCCTTTGTGGCCCACGAGTCAGAAAGTTTGCCCACCCCTGCTCTAAATGTAGATAAGTAGGCAAAATCTGATGACGACAGCCCAAGTTACAGGTCAGATCTGTGTGTGTTTTTATGTGTGTATGTTTTATTTAAGAGTAAAAATCACCTGTAACTGAATAAATCTGAATATGTTTAATGCAATATTGTTGACTAGAACATTCCAGGTAACGCAAAAGCATATCCATGGTGACAAGCAAGTGATCAATTCCCATTTGAGAAGTTACATATTGCACCTTTAAACGAAAGAAAAAGGAAAATTCATAATGTTACATGATATCAGAGTATTACCGAAAGTGGTATTCCTGATAACCAAACAGCGGTCACTATGTTCCTCTCATAAACACAATCTAAAAACAGAGTAACAAAAACCACAAAAAGTGGCTTCTATTTAGATACAAAAAGGAATTGTACTGTTATGGTGATACAGGAAAAATAAAGAAAAGAGGCCTGATCTGTATAGCCTATTCAACACAGAGTTTAGGAGGGACCCTGGCCATGTCCCCCTATTCTGAGCCCCCCAGTGCCCCCACTACCCTGCTTTTTCTCTGGGATGCGTTTATATGCCAGTCATGCCTCCTGGTTGTTCTGTTTTTTGTTTTTTTTTTCTCTGTTGGACAAAACGTGGTGACTTGGTGGAGCTCCTGGAATTATTGTGCTA